TTATTTAGAGGCAGGGGAAAGCGTTCATTTTGAAAAGTCTATATAACTCGCTCAATCCTTGACCAATTCGCTTCTATCAGATAGAAAATGGTTGAAAATGATATAGACGAYTGCATTGCATCTTTATTATGTTTCCGATTTAATCTACGTGTATCGATATCCCCATACGTTCTCTTATACTATGTTACAGATACAGAGCCTTGGGCGACCTGTGCTGAATTATGAAAATTTACTCGCGTTGAAGCCGTAACCTCAGTGGTGTGAAGAAAATAGTAAACGAAATTACAAATTAATTACCTTAAACTTCATTTGGTACAATAACTCTTCGTGCGCCTTGACCAGCAAGAGGTTGTGGTGGGCCAAAGAAATTTTAGTGTGCACCTCCATTTCCTTGGAGTTACCATGGAGGGTGCACAGTGGTACGTTACAAGGACGAATTCGTTCCTCTCAACACATTAAATGTTCCATAGCCGCACTCCTAAAATAGTAGTTAAGTTAAAAGAAGAACTTCTCAGTGATTTTAGATTCCATAAAATTTCACTCTCAATCACGCATTTCTCCATCCTGCAGAGTAAACTGCCAAAATTTCTAGCTAGTAGAGTCTCCCTCGTTGGTTCACATATAATGTTCCGGGGAAGTTCAACGATAATAATTTTAATAAATAAACATGTATAGTATTGACCTTTATATTCGATACTTTGTACCAAGATGTTTTAAAATACATAATTTTTCCTTGGACTTACGCCGTGCTCACATGTATGTCAATCGCCGCAGCTACTGCGGCTCGCCGCAGCTAAGACTTTAAACAGTTCTAACTGAACTGATCATGATTACTGGTTCAGAGTAAAGGGAGATCTACTCACATTTTTATTCTATGTTTGTCTTGTGCTTTTCTGAAATATGGACAAATATTTTCCATATTGAAGAATTATGCGGTTTCTCTACTGTGAGGACTTGCAGCTACAAAAGACTATTTTCAGCTTTCCCACGGGTAAAGGTTTGACGCAAGACCATCAGAACAAAGGGTTTTTGTTAGAAGTATTTCGACACTTCCCTCTCTTGGTGTGAAGTCACTTTAATTTCGGTTATTTAGTTGTTTTTGTAAATGATACATCGGTCCAGCGATAAGTACATCTCCTCATTTCCCAAATTAAAGCACTGGCTAATTTTTTTTTCTCGGCCGTGTTCTATGTCACTGACGGATGGCTTTTCAATATTTCATTTGGAAATTTGATGATCATAAGTTCCCGGATGTCATAAGTTTTTTTCTCAACTCCTTCATGAAAGCTACTCCCAACGAAAATAAACAGGAAGTTCTGGAATGTGTCAATGTATTAAAGCAGAGGTGTACCGCCTAGTTCACTATCGTATAGCCACCAACAAGCATCGACGGTTTTAGCTCAGATGACAATGATGCAGGGGATTTTTCGCCGCCTAAAAAGCCATAGGAAAAACGGTAATGAAATGGATAGTTGTAACGAAAAAGAAATTTGTCTATGTGGGAGGAAATGAAGTTGAGCGGAGAAGCAAGGTACATAGGCATTAACATATTATGGACAGCCGAGATGTTGATGGACCAGCTTCGAGCTGTTTTTCCTTACCTTCAAAGCAAAGAACGTAAGTCACTGTGAATTCAATTCTTCATTTCCAAAACTACTTTTAGTTGATAGTAAAAACTTCGTGAATATTAATACTTATTTTTTCCTCTTCCATTAGAATCAGAGTTTTCAGAACAACCTTGCGCGGGAATATTTTTACAAGGCTATCAGAATATCTCCCWAACGCCAAGGAGCTGCTACAATTGTTTAAAGGGAAAAAATCGCCAAGGATTTAACTTTACATGAAAAATAGCAAAGGTATGATCAATATATTTATGAATATTTGTGATGTAAAGAAAACCTTGAAAACCGCACTATTACATATCATTCTAGACTGATATCTAACACCGCAATCAGTTAAGGTTAATTTGTAATTCCAGTTCCAAAACAAGGAATGGAAGTAGGTTGTAAAGGTGAGCAGGCTGAATTATTCGTCACACTCAGTTTGTTATAGCGGTTTCTTTACGTTGGGCACGGTTACAGCTCTTTTATAGTTCATTTGTGCTTTCAGTAATTAGATGTTACATACTCCACTGTATACTACCATTAAAGTAGGATTATATTTTTTAAATTACTTTACAATTTTATATATCTAGAAACTATATATAACTACTGTAGCTATAACTAGAATTTTTTAAATATTTGAACAATAATGAAATCCGGTTAAAAAATCTTGCGCGTTCATCATTTAAAGAAAATAACGAAAGATTTTACATTT